TGTTTTGTTTTGTTTTGTTTTGTTTTGTTTTGTTTTGTTTTGTTTTGGCATCTCTCCACTCCATTGACGGGCAGTGGAGCAGGGCTGGCTTCACTCAGCAGTCAGCAGTATCAGGCTGCACTAAACTGGCACTGTGTGAAATGAATCACCCTCTCCTTTGGCCCCAGCTATTTTTATGACCCAGGGCTGTATGGTTAGGTGTAGGTATAGGTGATCCTTTCATATTTCAGCTGGGCTCAGGAGAGTCTGCTCATGCTATCAGAATTGATAAATGCTGGATTCAAGAAAAGAACACGAGACTCAAAATTAGTGTCTCATATTAAAAAATGGCTCTCCTAGACTGAACGGAATGGGGAGAAGTGTATGTATGACTATCCAAAAAGCAAACCTGAGTTCTGCCTTAAATAGCCTTTCCTACTGTTAGGTCTGTATCATGCAACTGTGTTATAATGTTGATCCTCGAAGCAACAGACCCCAGTGCTTCACACTAAGAGTGAATTACCTTCAAGATCCAACTGAAACCTAATCTCATTGAGTCATAAGAACCCAGTTAGCTTACATGGTTTCGCCTTTTAGGAAAGAGTTCCCTAATAGATCTCATGGTAAAACTATTCATAGTTTGATCATACTTTCTTCCAGAAAATACTTTGCTAGTAACTACCTCAAATCAGAGGGCAGAGAAATCACTTAGTTCTAGGGTGGTGTAGCACAACTGCAGAAATTTTATCTAGGAATTTCATTCTTGAGCAAGAGCTAGACTGAAATAACAGGATCAAACCCTTCTACTTCTGTAATTCCTTAGCCCTGAGGCCCTCCTCCATAGCTTTAACCAGTGTGAGCATCCTGACATTTATGTGATGCCAAAGTGTCTACTCACAGCAGGGATCATGAAAGCCACTTGCTTTTGTGTTTGGTTGTAACCCGAATTAGAAACAAGGAACATGAGCTTATTACTCTGTTGATATTTCTCAGCCTATGGTGATACATTTATAATCTACTTTTATAATTTGTAATTAATTTTATGAATGTAATATACATTCTTTGTGCATTTTCAAAGCTAGAAGTAATGAATTAACAAGAAAACAAAAATAAAATGTAATCTTCTTTCCCAATGCTATGTATTAACTTCTTAATATAGTTAAATTTATATTTTTAATTCTTTTTTCTGTTGCTGCACAGGCATTTTAGAATAATTTCCTCACCTGCTTTTGTGTGCAATTTCCTTTCCCATTTAGCACATGGAAGCAGGGCCATGTATCTCACTACAATGAGCCTACATTTCTAAGTTTAAGGCCCTTCTAAAAGACTTGCTCTGGGAACCATAACTCCTGCAAGAACATGGTTCTTCTGGTGTGTGCTGAGCTTTGCCTATGTCCAGGATTGAGAGCAGGTTTCATGAGTATACCCTTCATTTGCAGCTGGTAAGCAGGTGCCAATTCTGCCTCAGACTGCTAAAGAGCTGCTCAGAGTCTCTGAGGAAACATGATGGGGCTTTGCAAGAAAGGGTGAACAGTGCCAGAGGGTCTGCTGTGGAGATGAAGGTGACCAGGTACTGGCTGCAGCAGTGTCGGTAGCATAGACTCTTTCCAATGGAAGGCAAGGCTCTGTGCACACTAAAGCTTAGTGCCTGCTTTGGTAAACCTGTAGAATCCTTTCACTTTAATTCTGATCTAAAAACTGTCCAGTGAGCCCTCTGAGCTCACTAGGAGTATCAGCATCTGTGCAAGGCTATCACGTAGGTCTTGTATTTGAGCATGGCACAGGAAAAGTTATGTATCGGTGAGCATTTTACACTGATCTTTAGTCAAGTGAGGTGAGTGGCTGGAAATGTAGACCAGCATCTGGTTTCATTTTCTTTGTTTTACTGCAGTTTCAGGTTGAAAGAAGAGGCATACCAAAGCACTAAGTTCAAAGTAATTTATTGTGTTTTAGAAGACTACACTTCAATTAACTGGAAATTGTTTTGTTCTTAAACCTTCCAGGCAGTGTCTTAGAGACTAAAGGAATGAAAGATCGGTGTAAATTGTCTTCCTTTCAGTATGTTTTCTTTATCTCTCTCTGCCCAGGTTACAGAATGAGAGTGAACACCAATACCAATCACATTCACTAGAGGTGGAGATGGCTCCAGGTTCCTGCAAAAATGATCCAAGGGACAAGCCAAGGTTCAGGACTTCAACACAGCAGGAACAGGGCTGTAGCTGGAGTCCCACAGAGAAGTCTAGTGAAGAGTCCCCACCTGATCCAGGGCTTAATAGACCAACAAGTTGTAACCACTCAGCTGAGAACAGAGGTGGCAGAGGTGATGGTTTAGCCTGGTTGGAACTCACAGCAAGTCCTGAGATTGCACCAGAAAGCACTACTGTGTCTCCCAATCTGAAAGCAACTGAGGAAAATGAGGATTTGAAAATCTCCAACAATAAATCTCAGGGCAAGGAGAAACATGGGCCACAGCAAAGAAGCCAGTTATTAGAAGCTGGACATCTTCCATCACCAGGAGCCACGGATGCTCTCTCCCAGTCTCACAGTGCTGAGAGTACAAAGGCAAGACAGGCAGCACTTGTATCTGAAGCAGGATGGGATGGTGAACAAGACTCTGGACTGACTCATGTGCCCCACAGACTCCCCGAGCTGCAGAAGGAGGGGTCCCAGAGCTTGTGCAGAAGCACAACCAGAGTGCGATCACTGCCACCCACGGTCCCTCTTTCCCTGTCCATCCCTTCACCTGGGCCAGAAAAAAGAACAAGAACACCCAAAAGAAAGAGACAGAAGTCTGCTCAGGTGGAAGAGCCTGAACAGGAAGGTACTGAGACTATGACTACTCCAGTAAGAAAGCTGGCCAAATTCACATTTAAACAGAAGACAAAACTGACCCACTGCCCTGAAGGCCAAGGTCCCATGCCCCCCAGTGCTAGTAAAATAGCAGTTGACAGTTCTAAGATTCCCCAACAAAGGACAAGAAGAGAAGCGGCTGTGCCTGTGGCAGTGCCAGGAAAGTTGCCATCCACTTCAGGAGACAGATGCTCTGACCAGCTGCAGGGAAAGACAAAGGAGCTCTCACGGCAGCCACCAGAGAGAAATCCACCAAGAGAAGAGAGGGAGCAGGGCCCCAAAAGAAGGGTTGTTCAGCCCAAACTGGAGCCTGGGAACCAGGCTGGGCATTCGCATCTAGCCTGTGAGAAAGACAGAGAGGAAGGAGTTTCTCGTGGTAATAAAAGCAGCAAGGTTCATGCTGGCACGATAGCCAGACTGGCAAACTTCTCTTTCACTTCCCCATCAGAATCCAAATCAGAGTCCCTCCCTCCTAAAAGGAAGGACAGCAGGGACAGGAGCCATAGCCCTCCCATGACGACAGCTCCGGTGCTCGGCCGGCAAAGGCAGTCTTTCCAGTTGCAGCAGCCCACTGAGAGAGCAAATCGTTCCACCTTCTCCCTCTTCACTCTATCAGAGCTAGATGACGAGGCATTAGATTTTGACTGGGATGAAGAGATGAGAAAAAAGCCCTGATTGTGAAAAGCTTTCTGGTCAGAATTGTCTTCCCCAGCCCAACCAAGTGCCTTCAAAGTATACAAGTATACAAGTGGTTACAGGTGTGGACACGGTGTGTATTATGTGGCCATGCAGAAGCCCAACTCCCTTGTCAGGTTCATCTTCGTGACTTCAAATGCTGAATAATTAATTTCAGTCGGTGTGATATCAGCACTTGGGATGAAGGAATTAATGCTTCATTTTACAAAGATGACTTGCCGTCAAGGGCATTCCTAGGTTTCACTTGGCTTTTGTTTTCGTGTTTTGTTTTTTGTTTTTGGTTGGTTGGTTGGTTGGTTTAGTTCATTTTGTTGTATTGGTTTTGTTTTGGGATTTGGTTTGGTTTTCAATAGAGGAGTTTTGTTCTAAGTTTCTCTCTCACTCATCCAGACCAAATGGCAGGATGGTGGCACTCATAAATCTAACAAGGCAGCTGAGTGCTTTCTGTCCTGCTTTGCATTTCCTACCCAGTGCGTACTGAATTCAGTATTTATTAACATTTGGAATGACTTGCTGAAATCATGTGGTTTTCTCATACCTCTGTGTTAATTCTCACGCATCAAATTAAAAGGGCCTGGTGGTTTTCTGTCTTCGAGATGCATGCTTTCATTGCACAGCATCCTCAGGGAAGCCACAAGGTAGCTTTCAGAAGCCCTGATCCTTGGGCTTGGTCTTTTCCTCTTGAGCCAGCATGCCCTGTCTTTGATTCCTATTTGCTCTCAGAGCTTACCTTCAATACAACTTGAAGCATGTGGTTAGAGGAGGAGTGAGGTCCAGAAGGCCAGCTGTAGCCCTGTCACATCGGCATCAGTGTGGAAATGTGATCCATGATAGCTTCTCATCTAGTTATAGTCATTTTATAAAACCAAGAAAATGTGGATTGGGATATGGCTCAGGAGTAGAATGTATATGTAGCACGTATGAAGCCCTGGAGTAAATCCCCTACACTGCAAATACTAAATACATAAAGTAATAATAAAATAAAACCAAAGAAGTTTCCATGTCTGGTGGGAATAGATGAGTAAACTGTCTTCCTGTGTGCTTCTAAAGTCCTTTACTTTGTGTTCCAGCAGAGGGTAGGGAGGAACGGTTCCATCCTTACAGACATGCTTCAGGGTGTGCATTTGTAGCACTGACTGATACTTTTATTGACCAGAGGACTTTGGGACATAAAAAGTACTCAAAAATGTATGTGCTTAGTTAATGTTTACTTGGTGAAATTCATACAGAAAAAACAACCCACAAAGCTTATAAAACCCAATTATTTTGAGCATTTAAAAATGAATTCCCAAATGGACTGGCTTTCTAAAACATTGTAAACTGTTAAAACGTATTTAATACTTAGGAGTCTTCAAGTACCTTGAACAGCTCACAAAACATTTACATAAGCAGTGATTTTTAAATGTATTTCATATTCACTTATACCTACTCAAAAACATTAACACTATAGTTTACATAATGTATTTCTGTTTAAGAACCTTCAAGCATAGAATGATCCTGAATATATTCCTAATGTCCTAGCATCATTTCTTTCCGGGGTTTCAGTAGACTTCTAAACTTCTAGAACTAAAGTGGAAAAAAGTTTGTTTCCTCCCCGCTTGGGTGAGGAAGTATACGCATGAGTGGTCATGAGTCCACTCACCTTCTTGAGCATGTGGAGGCAGAGGCTGATGCCTGTGTCTAGCTTAAATTGTTCCATCTTATTTTTTCAGGCAGGTTCTCTCACTGAACCTGAAGGCTGTCTGTTCAGCTACTGACTCGCCTGAGAGCTTCCTGGATCCCCCCCCGAACCCCACACACACACCCCTTCACCCCTAAGGCTGGTGTCACAGACATCTACCTTGCTCAGCTTTTATATGGGTGCTGGAGATACAAACTCAAGTCCTCATGCATGCACAGTGAGCGCTGAGCCCATTGCACCATTTCTCCAACCCCATATATAAGTAGGCACATCATACTCTGCTCTTTTGGGGAGGGAGGGAATGTTGAGGCAGGATCTCATTGTATAGTCCTGGCAGACCTGGAACTCACTGATCGTCTTGGTTTGTGTCCTAGTTAGGGTTACTGTTGCTATGATGAAGCACCATGACCAAAAGCAAGTTGAGGAAGAAAAGAGTTTGTTTGGCTTGTACTTCTACATCATAGTCTATCACAAACAAGCACAGCAGCCTGGGCCGATGGTAGAGATTCTGGCCAGCCTCCTATGTCCCGATCTCATAGTGGGTTTAAGGTTCTAGGTACCGTACCTCTCTAACTCTGTAATACAGGGATTACTGGTAGATTTCTGAATGCACTTAAATCATCTTTGCTTAGGAACCATATAAGCTGCCTGAAGATGGCAAGCCAATTCCAAACACACAAGCCATTCATTGCTGACAGTGTTGATGGACATATAAGGCTACAGAATGCGGAGGGAACTGGCTGCTGTACTGTTGGATTCCCAGCTCCATTTGCTCATGTGTGTGTTGATCTTCATAGCCGTTAGAAATACTTAGGGGAGAGCCAAGTGGGTGGGAATGCAAGGAGGGTGTTAAGATATTTTACATTTTCCAGCATTTTGGTTTTTTTAACTAACTGTAAAGTTGCCAACAAAGTAAGGACTAGATCCACTTTGAAGAGACAAAAACACATAAATTCCAGACCTGGTTTCATCCTTAGAATGATACAGAAGTAGTAAGTAGTTCATAATAATTTTAAATCAAAATTACAAAGTCAATTTCTAATATGTTTTAATCATTGTTAGAAATTATTTTTTAAGGTGGAGAATCTAGCCAAGTGTTGTGGCTATGTTCCTATAATCCTAGCACTGAGATGGAGGCAGGAGGATGGCAAGCTTTAGATCAGCCTAAGATACATAACGAATTAAAAGAACCCTGGACTATGAACAGACATCCCATCTCAAAAGAAAAGAAAAAAGAAAAAAAAAAGAAACCATAGGTAATGCCCAACTCTTCTAGAGTTGAGGGACCTTGTGGCAGTTCTGGTATTTTGGCTTCTTTTAAGAACCACAGAAATAATATAAAGAATATGTTTTTGTTTTAATCTCAGGCGTAAGGATATGGGGCTGCTTTGACTATCCGAAGCAACTGTGGTTGCCTTGTGCTCTAGCAGAGGCCTGCTATGTTTCTGGGATTGTATGATGTTTGAAACTCTGGGAAATTTTCAGAGAGTGTATAAGTGCTAGGGCCCCGAGAGGAGGGTTGTTGTTCGTTTAGGGCAGTTGATTGAGGTTTGTTAGTAGTCCTGCTCAAAGAAGAAACAAGAGGAAAGAAATGGATTCAGGGATTTTCCTAATTCTTCTCCTCTATTTTCTCTCTCCTATCTAACATAAAGGGGTGAAGCTAGGGGAGGATAAAGGATAGGAAAAAGAGGAACCTATGAAATAGCAAAGACCAGCTACAGGACCTGACATATCTGAGACTTGCTTTGCCACCTTCAAAGAAACCCAGTGTAAATAGGGAGTGATGCAGCTGGTCCTTGGAGAGGCCACTGCCTCTTGGAGAGCTAGCCTCAGTAGCATCTATCTCATCCATGAGTGAAGCACTCTCTGACAGACTGCCCAGCACCTTTTACTCCAGCATCGTTACTTCTTCAGGAAGGCCACAGGGGCCATAAACTTGAGTTCATTGCAGTCACACATGTATATATAATAGCTCTCTCTGAAAGGATCATTCACTGACAAAACAAAAACCTTGAGCCAAAATTAAATTCAAGTGAAATATTTCTAGCTTTATATTAAATGCTAATTTTCCCAAGTGACTTACTATATTTGTACTGGTTACCATACTGCCAATACATAAGTTTTCAAGGCATATTTATTACATGACTTCATTTTGCCATCACAATAACAAATACTACTCATATTTCAGGTAATATCCTATTTTATAAATGAAGAAAATGCTCCAATATTTAAGGGAGTTTTTTCATTTTGTTTTTACAAAATCAGCATACTTTATTTGCATGGGGATTAAGGTCTGCAGTATCTGCTTTCTGACTCCTTCCCTGGCTCACTTCTTAATTCTTCATTAAAAATAGTGGCTATAGATAAACGGTGAAAACTGTCTATTAGTAGTTTACAATGTGCTAATTATTTTCAACATTTGGAAAGTGTTAACTCATCTAATGATTTTTGACAGCATATAACTTAGCTTCTCCTCACACCATGGCCCTTTAATGATTGCCTATCCTCAGACTCCTTTCTCCTGGCTCATTCCCTTGGTATTTGCATCTTTGGACTCTTAGTACCCATCTTTCACCCAGTGGTCCCTTATGTGAGCATCTGACTCTTAGCCACCTTGTCATCAGTGTCTCTATTTGAGTATCAAAAGAAATTTGCAACCTCAACATATTTCACATTCTAAATTGCAGAGATTAACTATCTCCCTGAACTTAATCCTTCCCTACATTTATCTACCTCAGAGAATTAAAGGGAGACGGCATCTTTCCAGTTGTTTACAGTCAAATCTTCAGTGATCCTTGAAGTTTCGCTTCCTTTTGTGCCTCACATCCAGTCTATTAGCAAAGCATATGGAATGTCTATTTGGTGTACATCCAGAATCAGAGCGTTTCCTACATTTGCAGTTAGCACACCAATCTAAGCCTCTGGCCTTGCTCCTGGCTTCAAGCTGTTGCCACAACAAAGGACAAAATAACCCTATCCCTAGGTAAAGTCAGATCACCTCATGCTCATTAAAAGTCAAAGTCTTTATAATAACAATCTCTAAGGTGTGACTCTAAGGAGTTGACCTTGGGCACTATATCTCCTTTCTGGTCTCTTCATGTCTGAATCTAGTCCAGCTACCGAGCCTTTTATTTTCTGTTCTCTCCATGTCCATGTTCCCTGCCCTTTCCCTGTATCACCAAGAAACCATCCATCGAGACTCATTCTGCACACACATGCATGCATGCATGCACCACAAAACTAAATAAATAAAAAACCAAAGTCTCCCAATGAAGCCTACACACTACCCTATTAAAAACTGTAAAATATACCTCAACTTACCCAGTTTTCCAATCCACTGCGTTTTTAAAATCACCTACCATACTATAAATTATTGACTTATTTTGTTTCCTGTGCCAACAGTTCTATCCAAGGAGAGGAAATTCTAAAGTAGAAGATAGAAGAGGGCCAATTGCTGTCCGAGAGCAACTGCTGTGGTGGAGCTTAGGTTCCTAGTAAACCCAACAAACTGCTGCCATGGGCACTGAGGTACACTGTGGGCCCGGATCTACCGAATGTTTGTAGAATGCCATGATCAAGCCGACAGTGGTAATGCACACCTTTAATCCCAGCACTCCCGGGAGGCAGAGGCAAGCAAATCTGAGTTCAAGGCCACTCTGCTCTACAGAGTGAGTTCCAGGATAAACAGGACTACACAGAGCAGCCCTTTCTCTAAACCCAACAGCAACAAAAAGGATGCACTGATGGAGAGTTGGCAGGGATACTCTTTGCTTCCTGCAGGTCTGTAAACATGGAAGTAACTTCTGTCATTTACCTCAAGATGTGATTGACAGTCATGCCTCAGAGGTGTCTGGGGCAGCTTGAGGATTGTCCTCTATATATTGTACTATAACTTGGCCTACAGGTAAAGGAAGTAACCTCATTATGTGGCTGTTCCACTACCTTCCAAGTACAGTCCATTTTAGATTGTGTGTGTGTTATATACATTAATTATATACATATAATCATTGTATATATATACTATATATAAAATCAGGATCTGTAACCCACTGTGAGGTAGGCCTAAGCCAGGATTCTAATTGTTTGTTTACCTGCCCTATACACCTTCCCACTGCCTGAGGACTGTGATTTGTGACAAACTAGGTTTCATTGTCTACTCAAATCTTATGGCCAACAGTTTTTTTTTCTTTTTTCTTTTTTTCTTTGTGTGTGTGTGTGTGTGTGTGTGTGTGTGGTTTTTCGAGACAGGGTTTCTCTGTGTAGCCCTGGCTGTCCTGGAACTCACTCTGTAAACCAGGCTGACCTCGAACTCAGAAATCCACCTGTCTCTGCCTCCCATG